AACAAAACTTTTGTTGTAATTAAACACACATTAAATTGAATGCAATTTTTAATGAATATTTGTTATGTTTTTCTCCGATTGTGTTCTGTATTGTATTTAAAACGTGTTTTCAATGTTGTGTTGTTTTGTAGGCCTTTTCAATGCAAATGCAATGCTTTGGCATTATTTCAATACACATACTCACCATAAATCACGTCCACGTCATTCATGCACTACATGTACATCAATAATGTGCTAACTTAAAGGTGAAATGGGTAAAGGTAAAATATACATACCTGATAACAGTTTGACACAGTATAATATCAAGTTGCTATTACCCTGACTACCCCCATAATAATAACCAGGTCTTAAACTCACACCATGTATAGAGGGGGTCACAGACCACCTCACACTTGAACAGTTAAACCTAAGAATCACCACATATTGTATTTCACTGAATATTCTGTACTGGAAAATGTTAAAGCATAACTGGCGCTACACATACAGACGACTTCTGGTATTTTGTTTAAATCTTACTACATCATATTGTACCCTTTGATCTCCTGATTTTTATGCCTTTTTCAACTCTATTGAGAAACCTGCTTGTTATACAGATCTGATAGTATCCAGATTGAAAACTAGAGGAGCACATTTTTACATGTTACGATTTATTATGAATTATTCAGTTTCATTAACATCGCGCTATTTGTCAATCAATTTCAAGCGTGCTTTATAAAATCATACTACTGTACAGTATTATTTTATACATTGTAAAGTGGAATTGTATACTGTAACTTATTTTGGTTATTAATTGATCAGTTTCAAACGAAGTGTTTGCCCTCATAAACGTAGTACATAATAGCGACAGTAGAGTGTGTGATAACAGTTTGCCATGTGATCATTGATTAGAAGCAAATACAACACAGCATTGGTATTGGTATTGATTGTGTGCTCTCTATTTGAATGTCAATTCATTGTATGCAAAATGTGTACATTTAGTAACCAAATTAAACATGTTTCAAATACATGAACGTACAAATCAACCGCACATTAAATAATGTTTTACCAAAACATACTTATGTTTAATAAACATTACACCCGATAACACGTTTCAATGCCATCAATGTATGCATTATTTCATTATTTTTACTAAATTAACAATATTTTTAACAAACTTACCATAACTTGTTATCGTTATAATAATCATATAAAGTATATAAAACTATTTATAACATTACAAAATATTTGCTTTAATTACACTATTCACTGATAGCGACCCCATAGTCTTGCCACCATCAATACCACCAGGCTGATTTTTATAAATAATAAATTGATATATAAATCACAAAACCTACCATTTGTTTTCTATTTATAATTGCAGTGATTATATGGTACCTCTAGTCCACACCACTACCACTAACATCACCATTGGATCAATACATCGACCACTCAATGGCGTACAGACGGACCACTAAAGACACGTATGAATGGATACCCGTTAATCGCCTCATCGGTATGTCTGGTCAATACCATTGTCTGATTCACCCGAAGGCCTATTCCCACTAACCCTATTACACTAAAACCTCTATAAGTCGAACTGCTCGGCACCAAAAAACTTACAAAGGGGTTAGAGTTATAGAGGGTTGGACTTATGGAATTTTAGTGTATCTCCTAACCAAGTTCATTACTTGATCCATACTAGCATTTTAAATCTACTCTTACCCTTCCGTTCCTATCAATTAACCACAAGTCTTCTCAACAACCTTCACACTAGAAGCTAATCCATGGCTAATGAAATGATATTATCTTTGCAGATGATGTCAAATACGCAGTCCTTTTGCTCAATCACTCGTTGGATCACTTGAATGGTCACAAGAGTCTAACGTTTGACAATATATGGCGCAAAGGTTTTTATTATTTTTTAATTCATACAATTTATTCAATATTGAACCCATTATTATGAATAGTCTATTAGTGAACATCTATTATCACTATTCAACACAGATATGTTTGACTATCAAATTATGATCATGAACATTTAGTTTAATACAAAAAAACCAAATTAAAACATTGGAATATTCTGTCTTTTTTCTAAACTTTATTAGTTTTGCTAACTTTTTTTTAATGATCACTATTTTTACAATAAACTGTTCATTATAACGGGTCGATTGCAAATCTATTAAAGCGTTTAACAAATCACAAGTTATAAACTAATTATAATTTTAAATTGCATCAAACCATAGCCGAGCGTCGGGTGGCTGTGGACGGGGGCTCAAAGTACTTACAACCTGATCACACGCTTCCGGACATTCTTTGCGGTGACTTTGATTCGGTGACAACGGATCGGCTCAACCACTTTCGACAAA